AGGGCAGTGCAACAGCTTCTTTAGTGGCCTCTGACTCGGTGGCTGTCCCTAGCCTAACTGGCTCTGTGAGGCCTCCAGATTTTCCTAGTAGGTAATGGACAGCAAGAGGCACCACGCCAAAGTGCCAAAGTGCTCTTGATGGACTGGGAGGTGTGAGCCAATAGTCAAGAGCAGGAAGGTTGAAGCTGGGGAAATCTGAGGTTAAATGCTGGCTCCTCTGCCATTTCCTTGTTGAATAACCTTGGACAAAGAGAACTGTTGAGCCTCAGTCTCACCATCTATAAAATAGGTCAGTAACAGCACTTCCTCCTAGTACTGATTGTGAGGATAGAATGATGTATGTTGAAAGCATTTAGCAAAGTAGGCAACAAAAGCAGCTCTTGCTCTCATCACTAGTGGGATGCTAACAGCTGCCACTTGGATTCAAGGGCAGGGTTGGCAGGCAATGAGTTTCTGTTTCCCTCTTCCATGGGCCTTGCATCATGCCTTGTGAGCTCCTAACATGCCCTGGGGGAGAAGTGAACCTGGAGACTCAGGATTGTACCCTGAAACCCCTCAGCTTTCCCACAGCTGAGTGTCCTGGGGGAGAGTGGCAAAGGCAAGGCAGTAGATGCAAAGTTTGGAAGGACAGAGGGGGAGGCATATCAGTGTGAAGGGACCGTGAGGGTTTAAAATCCCAACAGAGGATTTTAGAAGGGGATGAAGGTAGTCCAGGAGGCAACTGGGTGGGGATGGTTTGGGGAACCTATGTCCTCCCCGAGGCATTTTTAAAGGAAGTGCCTGAAAACCACTGGCCCAGAAAATTGTATCCAGAGGGCTTGGGCTGGGCAGGACAGGTTGCTCTGCCAGCTTGTTGGTGCTGCCTACCTCCTGTGAGTGCCAGCCTCCTGGCCCCTGAACTCTAGCAGAACCGGGTAGCCCTGCCCTTCAGGGACACTTGCTGCTTCCCAGGATGCTCACCTGTTCTGAGGATCCTGGCGCTGGCTGGCTACGTGACATTTCCATCTCAAGACAATGACTTGACTGCCTTTGAGTACTCACTCAGCCCGCTGAGATGTGGGTAAGGAGGGGGGAGCCGCCCTCACCCTGCCCCCCATCTGTCCGTATGGCAGTGGGGAAGCTGTGCTCTGAGCTGGCCTCAGTGTCTAATCGGTGGCTCTGTGCCTCCTCACAGCTAGACGAGGAAGAGAGGAGCGAAGGAAAAGGCGCCGTGAGAAGAACAAGGTCGCAGCCGCCCGATGCCGGAACAAGAAGAAGGAGCGTACAGAGTTTCTGCAGCGGGTGAGCAAGGTGGCCAGAGCAGGCGGGGAGGCCTGCCTGTCCTTTGCAGGGACTGGAGCTCTCCGAACTCAGGGACATCATCAGATGCTATGGAATCATGCCCATGTGGTCTCAGCCTGCTGCCCTCCCTGGCCGCCTATCTGATTCCCCTCCCTGAGCCCCAAACTCCCTAATCCCAACAGCCTGGACCAGCTAAAGCCCACACAGGCCCCCTGGAAGCCCAGAGAAGGTAGGAGGAGCCACTGAACTTAGTCTGACCATAGCCCAGGATTGGCACTACCCTTTTGGGTCCCTTATGGCTGCCAGAGTTATATGGTGAGTGCTAATAACAGCAGGTGGTAATCACACGGGCAGTGGACAGAGCACCTGGGCAGTTTACTTTTGCACAGAGAAAAGCTCCCTCCTTGAGCTGCAGGTGGCTCATCCAGCACTACATCCTACCTGTCTGGCACCTCCATCCCACTGGAGCTAACCCCCCCACACCCCAAACTCTTTGCTTCTGCCTCCAGGGACCAGAGGTCAGCTCTTCATGCAGATGGTGACTGTCCCTTTCCCCACTACCTGCTCACTCTTCTTCTTTTTTTTTTTTTTTTTTTTTTCATTTGAGACAGGATCTTACTTTATAGCTCAGGCTGGCCTCGAACTTGCAATCTGTCTTCTTCAGCCTCCCAAGAGTTGGGCTTATAGGCATGTACCACCATACCTGGCTCTCTTCCCTGCCCTTTCATTTAAGGAGGGTGTTTGTTCTTTCTCTCCCTGTGTCCTATCTCTTAGACCTCCCCTGCATCTCAAAAATAGTAGATGGCAGTGAAGGAGCATGACCAGAAAGCCGATGAGTCCAGGCCAGTAGTTGCCAGTCCCTCATCCCCAATCATCAGTTTGCTAATAACAGCAGGTGGTAACATCACACGTGGCAGTGGACAGAGCACCTGGCAGTTACTTTTGCACAGAGAAAAAGCTCCTCCTTGAGCTGCAGGTGGCTCATCCAGCACTAATCCTACCTGTCTGGCACTCCATCCACTGGAGCTAACCCCCCACACCCCAAACTCTTTGCTTCTGCCTCCAGGGACCAGAGTCAAGCTCTTCATGCAGATGGTGACTGTCCCTTTCCCCACTACCTGCTCACTCTTCTTCTTTTTTTTTTTTTTTTTTTTTCATTTGACACAGGATCTTACTTTATAGCTCAGGCTGCCTCGAAACTTGCAATCTGTCTTCTTCAGCCTCCCAAGAGTTGGGCTTATAGGCATGTACCCCATACCTGGCTCTCTTCCTGCCTTTCATTTAAGGAGGTGTTTGTTCTTTCTCTCCCCTGTGTCCTATCTCTTAGACCTCCCTGCATCTCAAAAATAGTAGATGGCAGTGAAGGAGCATGACCAGAAAGCCGATGAGTCCAGGCCAGTATTGCCAGTCCCTCATCCCCAATCATCAGTTAAGTTACGAGCCAATAATAGGATGATATATATGCCAATAGTGTAGAGGGCAGGTGCTGATGTGAAAGTACACGTAACTGACATAGTGTCTACCATTTGCTCAGTGTCATATGTGTTTGGTCTCATTTTACTGCCCACGTAACTACTAAGGAACTTCAGTATTCTCTTTCTGAAGTGAGGCATCTCAAGGTTAGTGACTTGCCAGGTCTCTGAGCCATAAAGTGGCAGGACTAAGACCCAAGCCTGAGACGAACCTCTAAGCCTTTGTTCTTAACACTGCTATTCTTGTCCTCACCCTTCATCCTTGGTTGGTTCCTTAGTTCTTTTTCATTCATTGATTCAACAAGTATACTATAATGTCAGTGCTGTGCTACACAAACTGAGGGGCACACAGGCCAGAGCAGACATGATCCCCTAAAGAAGATGGGGAGACAAGGCTGGATTGGCTGTGGTGTTCTGTTCTCTGACACTAGAGATGCAGGTCTCTTCTTTGTGCTTGCTACAATGGGAGCTATTCCGAGGTCACAGGTGTGGACAGCATGAGGCCATGAGTAGACTTCCAGGCTGTGAGCACTAGAGCAACAGAGTGGTGGTTATTAGCAGAAGTGAGCTGGGAGCCCCTTGGAGTAGATGGTATACAACACTGGGCTGAAAGTCTTCAAGCAGTTTCTAAGACCTATAAGGTGGTGGAGTGCTACATATCTTATCTCCAGCACCAAGTACCTGCCATGGTCAGAGCTGGGAGGCACAGCCAGGCATAGAGAAACTTGCCTTGAGAAGCTTCCTGAAGGATCCCTTGTCAGCCAGGTGACAGGGAAGATGTGCCCAAACCCACAGCAACCAATAACGTGTAGATCGTCAGTGCCAAATGAACAGCATTTATCACACCTACTGTATGCCAGGTATTTCATGTGTCTCATTTAGTCATTTTAACATTCCAGTGAGATAGATACTAGTTACTCCCATGTTAGACACTGACCTGCAGCTCAGAGAGGCCAAGTTACTTGCCCAACCAGTGTGATCACTGCTAGGGAGTGGAGGGGCAGGGCTTCATTCATCCATTGACTGATCCGTCTTTCCACCTAATCAGTGATGATTGAGGGCCCACTGCACCGTGGACAGGCAGGTCCTGTCTTCAGTGGGATGGCAGACGGCAAATGAGGAAGAATAACATGTGCGGACGTTATGTTAGGGGAGCCCAGTGCACTATGGGTACCCATGCAGGGGCCCTTGGCCTAGTCTGGGCTGAGGAAAGGCTATTTCAGTTGTGAGAGGAAAGAGGAGCAGGAGGTAATAAGATGAGGACGTGGGATGCAGAAGGTTGCTGGATTAGCACACACAGACAGAGGTGTTGTTCAAGGATGTGTTCAAGACATTGAAAAGAATGTCTGTGTGACTGGAGGTTAGGCTACTGAGTGGGAGGATGGAGGCCCAGACCCTTATTTGTGGGATGATCTTATATGCAGGCCTGCCTGGACCAGTTCCAGTTTATGCCTGTGGTCCTGGCCTAGTTATTACAGGCATCTTCCTTCACTATCACAAGTGAAGTCATTGACACGATGACTTACATGATGATGAGAGAGGCAGGGCCTTAGAGGAACCCCCTGGCTGCCCATAGGCCATGGACTGGGGCAGATGAGGCAGGACTGTGTTGTCCCAGGGAGAGAAGATGTAGCTGCAAAGGTGAAGAGAAGTGTGTGGACTCAGGTGCTGGGAGGGAGACTTGGGTAGTGCTGTCTGGGCCCCAGCCTGGTCCCCTGCCTCCCCACTCCCCTCCTGTCTCTGGCCCTGAAAGCCACTCATCACTGTGCTGATAGTGACTGTAGACTGGGGCACTCTGAGATCTGATTTTTATTTATTTATTTATTTAGGATGGGACTGGAGTTTGAACTCAGGGCTTCATTTGTACTTGCAAAGCAGGCATTCTACCACTTGAGCCATACCGCTAGTCCATAATCTGTTTTTGAAAACCTCCTGCCCCGTGGGACCCAGGACCATCCTGGGAGATTCTTACTGCCTCTTCAGAGTCACCTATTACCTGCTGAGACGAGCCAAGGCCTAAACCCTGGGTGGGACCTTTGGGTTGTGTCTACCACCTCCACCCCCAGCCCTGTGGTTAACTCATCACCTCCTGTCTGTAGTCAGGAGCCTGAGGTTCCTCCCTGCTGTCACACTGTGCCCTGTCACATTGTGTGCCTAACACAGTTTCTCTGGCCTTGGCAGCAGTAAAACCACCTCATGTTCCCATAGTGCTCTGAGCTTTTCGTAGCCTCTGTCTCCTCAAGGAGCCCCAATCCACTGACGAGATCTGAGAGATTAAAGTCTTGCCAAGGCCACACAGTGGCTGAGTTAGTGGACTGAGAACTCAGGGCTTCCTCCGCTACCAGCACACAGTCAGGTGGCCCTGACTCAGAGAAACCAGAAAACTTGTTCTCAGTAGCAGAACTAGCAAGTAGGAGGGGCAGGATTTTAATCCAGACATGTCTCTAGGATTTGCAAGGTCACACCAGGCTGCTTCCCAACTCAGAAAAAGTTTATGGAACTATTTTATGTGCATCAGGGTAATTTTTTCCTCTTTTTAAAAGATAAAACCAGAGAATCTTTGTGCTTAAAGTCTTCTGAGCCGATCATATTTTCTTAGAGAAACTGAGCCCCTGAGAAAGGAAGTAATTTAGCCAAGGTCATGTAGTTGAGCTGAAAAGCCAAGACACCCGGCTCCTTACCTTGTATTTTTTCTACTGATTTTACTGATCACAGTGTAGGAAACAGAATTTTAATTTTAATTCTATTTTAAAACAAGTGTTTTCAATTTTTCTAGAGCAATAAATGTCTGCCAGAAGTAAAAACAATAAACAAAAAATGCAGACAGAATAATTTTATTTCATAATTAATATGTGGAAGGTCCCAACTCTGTTCCTCCTTCGTTCATTAGAAAAACAAATCAGGCAATTGCTGTTATAAAACCACAAACCATCTGGGCTTGATAGTGCTGCAATCCCAGCACCCGGGAGGCTGAGGCAGGAGGATTTCAAGTTAGAGGCCAACCTGGGATACACAGACAGACCCTATCTCAAAAAAAACAAAATTAATTAAAATAAATTTTAAATGAATAAAACTACAATCGTGGATCAAAAAACATTTATAGTTGCGCCATAAATGTGTCGCATCAACCAGGAACTCTGAGAACATGTGACAGCCAGGTGTCCAGGATTCATTCTGGCGGTCATCAAAACCTACCAAATTTTCTTTGAAATGTCCTTTTTCTTCCTACTATTCTCCTGCTCATCAGTTAAAGTAAAAAACCCTAACACCTCTATAACTCTTTGGTTTACACAGTGCTTTTCCCATGTGAGCTAATTTAATCCCCATGATCTTTGCCTTTTTATAGACAAGATAACTGAGGCCCAGAGAAGGCGGGATACTTGCTCTGGACTCTGCCTCTGTCTGTCTCTAAACCTACAGTCCCCAATTCACAACCTCCTGTGTCCTGAGTGAGCTGTGGTCACAGTGGAGCAATTTTATCTTCCTCACACATCTAGGCTTTCCATGTCTGTGTCCTTGTTCAGTCAGGGCTCTTTACAGGAAGTTCCCTCCCTTCCCTTCTCTATCAGCCAGAGTCACCTCTGTGAACCCCAAGATCAGACCCGCTTGCTAGCTCTCTGAAGGGCTCCTAAATCCTGGGTGGCTGAGGTCCCCCACTCCCGACATAAGCACACAGTGAGGAGGTCACTGTATGGATGTCTCCCTTTGCTGAACAGAAGCTCCACAAGGATGGTGCTGAAGGCTCAGGGCCTTTGAATTCCCCGAGCATTCATTGTACACAGAGTCCCCAGCAAACATTCACTGAGGTGGATAGCCCGGGACTTCTAGAGGCAAAGATGTAGGACAATTTGAAGATGGACCTAACACCTTGGCCTGGCAGGACTGGGGTTAGAGGGTCACTAGCTAGTCAGATCCACTGATCAGGTCACCAAACTCTGCACCAAACTGCTATAGACTGTGAGGTCACATGTGTGTGTTTGCTAGGCAGGTGCTCTACCACTTGAGCCACTCTGCCAGCCCTCTCCTGGCTTTCTAAGATGGATTTCTCTTAGAATTCCGAGAACCATGGACCAGGCCAGCATTCCAGTCACATCTCAGCCTGTCACACTAAAATCCACCAGAGGTGGGTTTTAATATGTCCCCATGAGCACTGTTTTCCTTTGGAGCTGTTCACTATGGATGTCTGCTCATGACGCCTTTTCCACGGTTCGGAGCTCCCCGGAGCTCCTGCTGCCACCTCAGAGATGAGCACAGGGACAGCTGTGACTGGTTGTGTGAGGAAGACAGCAGTTCTGGCGGAGGGGAGCACTGAGGGCTCTGGAGACCCTGAGGGAGGTTGCTCGGCTGAGCGGAGGAGCCTGTCACACTTGCTGTTGCAACCACGCCTAGCTTTGTGACTGCTACGGGTTCTCCATCTCTGCACTGTGGGCATCTTGGTCCCAGTAGTTCTTGCCAGGAGCTGCCCATGCATTCAGCACCTGGACACCACCCACCACGTGCCAGTCCTGCCCACCCCAGCTGCCACATCCCAAAACCTCTCCAGACAGGAAAGCCAAATCACTCCCAGTGAAGAGCCACTGGCCTAAAGCTGCGAACTGAAGACAACTTTCTGTCATAAACTGTTGACAGAAGCCCAGGAAAAAAACATTCAGGTGCTCTTCTGTTTTACTCTTTTACCTAGGCCTTGACCTGACTTGCATGTCACCTGTCCCCATATGAACACGTAACCCCACACCCCACCTAGTCATCAGCCTTCTTTCCTTTCCCTGGGCTTCTCCAGCCAAGGTGGAAGAGCCTTGGAACTCTATTTGGAGTTCTATTTGGAACTTATTTTGGATCCAGCAGCATGACTGTGGATTGCCCAGCTAAACCTTCTAGATGACAGGGGATTCGGACATGTCTGTTTAGGTAATTCTAGACGAGTAACCAGGAAACACAAGTTTTAGGAGGAAAGACAGGCCCACACTGGGCTCATCAATCCTGTAATAACCACCATGTATTTGTCATGCATCAAAGCACTTACCATTGTACTGTCATCTCTGGGCCACCTCTGGCCCCCTTCATGGACCCCCAGGGGGTTCTAAACCTATTTGGTTTCCATTCTTTGCAAACCTTTTGTTTGTTTTCTTTTACTTTCCTTTCTTTTGGCAGTACTGGGCATTGAACCAGGGTCCTTTGCATGCTAGGCAAGCAATCTTACATTTGAGCCATGCCCCAAGTCTTTCGTTTCTTGTATAAAGACAGTATTGAACATATTTGAGAAACAGCAAGGAGGCCACTGAAGCTGAAGTGGATGGAGGGAGGGGAGAGAGGTGGTACCTGAGCCGAGCTGGCCCCAGAATGTCACCTGGATTCATCCCACCGTGATAGAGGCCATTGTCACAGTGTGATGGACACTTAACTTAGAGGCTTGACCTCTAGTGGGAATCTGGCAAATAGAAAATGATGCAGGCAACACAGGTGCCAGCTGGGGTGCCCTGCGCCTGCACTGTCTCCTGTAGGGGCATCTCCCAGGGTCCTCTATGCCATGAAAACTGACTGCTGTCTCTGTTTGTGCCCAGGAGTCAGAGCGGCTGGAGCTCATGAACGCTGAGCTGAAGACCCAGATCGAGGAGCTGAAGCAGGAGCGGCAGCAGCTCATCCTCATGCTCAACCGCCACCGCCCCACCTGCATCGTGCGGACCGACAGCGTCAGGACGCCCGAGTCCGAAGGCAACCCACTGCTGGAGCAGCTGGACAAGAAGTGACTGCGGGCCAGGAGGAGGATGCGGAGGAGGAGGGAAGAAGGAGGAGAGGCAAAGAGGGAGGAGGAGGGGTCCTGGAGGCCCTTCCTCAGCACATCAGAAACTATGCGATGAGGCTCAGCCAGCCAGCACCAGGCAGGCTTTCTTGTGAAACTCAGATCGGCCACACGAGGAGAAGAGCGGCCTGAAGACACCCAGTGGGAACAAGTGCTGAGACCAAAGTTGACCCGTGAGTGGCAGGGCTGTCCTGCCTAGGGTCCAGCTGGAAGGAGGCAGGATGGGACACCTGTGCCAGAGAGATGCCCAGCCAGGTAGCCTCGGGCACATCTCTGGCCCCTCTGCCAAGATACCCACCTGAGGGACCACCGAGCAGCCAGGAAAAGCCATGAATTGCAACCAAAATGAAGCTGAGGATGGAACTCAGCGTGAACTGCAGTCCTCCTGGCCTGAGTCTGCCGGGAGGCTGGAGAGGGGCACACGGGGGCCCTGCTGCCGGGCTAGGAGGCGGCAGCCAGGCCACCCTTGTGGCCCTGCAGGGTCGCTGTGGGCACTGAGGCGCGGGCGCCCTTCCAAAGCACATACTCACCGAATGTTTACAGACTGGCTGTCCTGGCAGGGCTGCAACTGCACATGTTTTTTATACTTTCTTTTTTTTTTTTTTTAATATTTTTTACAAAAAAAAAAGATTTTATACAAGCGATATATATATGGATTTCTATAATCACTCGATGTGATACAGTACAAATATGCTATGGTTTGTTTGTTACGGACAGATGCCCACCAGTTATGGCTGTTGTGTGTAACTCTTAAGTACTGTAGTCTCCGGGTGTCGGTGGCCGGGCAGGTGGGGTGCAGTTCCATCCTTGTAAACCCTTCCTAGTACTCAGTCCTGTACCGCTCAGTAAACTTTGCTCTTACTTATGCAGCTGCCTCCTGTGGTATCTGCCTGGAAGGGGGTTGGGGGGTGGCGGGGAGTGTTGGCGCATGTGCCCTACACACTTACTTCTGTAGCTGTGCTCACAGGTAGGTGTGAATGTGCCCATTTAATACATGAGGAAGCTGAGGCTCAGGAGATGCGAAAGTACCTTTCTGGGAATACTAACTTAATTCTCCCCATAAATGTTTGCTGAGTGCTTCCCACGAGTGTGTAAGGCACTGAACATTTTTGGGGGAATGAAAAAAACCTAGGTCTTGTCCCTGTGGAGCCTACAGTAACCGGTTTATCTTGTGCTTGCTTCACATGCTGTCTCATTTCATCTGCACAACACCTGACCAGGGAATGGCAATTGTCCCCAGTTCATGGATAAGGAATTAGAAACCCAAGGAAATTAAACTTGAAGTCACCATCTGTTGATTGGGTTTGATTCATTGTGTGACAAGCATATCTGATTTCCTTCTCACAACAGCACACAATAGGCATTATTCCTCTCCTTTTGCAAATAGTGTAGCTGAAGCTCAGAAAGGGCAGGTAACTTATCCACGGTTACCCCAATAGCAAGGGACAGAGCTGGTATTTGAACTCTGCTTCTAGAGACCCATGGCTCTCCTCTCGTCACTCCTTAAGAGTGATTGTCCCTGTGGGTGAATAGCTTGCCTGATCAGAACAGGAAATGTGGAGGCCATGGTTACAGATTTACTCTCTGGGAGTCTAGGATAGAGTTCCAGGCTGGTCCATGATCATGGAGAAAACCAGCTCTACCAGCAAATGTGTGCCTGACCTAGAGAGACACCTACCTTCACCTCACAGCTGAGTACCTTCCCCACAGAGCAGGAATAGCACAGTGGCATTCACACAGCAACTGGCGTTTGCTTGGCACTTGACAGCTCACAGGCTTTGCTGTGCTTGTCATCTCATTTGCTATTATGCTTTGTGAGGTGGGTGGGTAGGTGATAGTAGCTTCCTGGTACTTTGGTGCTTACAAAGGTTAAAATTCACCCACCTTAAAAGAGAGAGCTGAGAACAGAGTCCAACGCTCCTAGCTTCTAAATACGCCTTTGGTCTCCCTCACTGGGACTATAGAACTACTTGACCATCCTGTGTGTCAGGAGCACCAGTGACCTTGGGTTGCTTCCCGAAGTTTGGACAAGGCCTTCTGGGACAGACAGAAATGGAAACTATGTCATTAAGACACGGTTGGTCCCTTACTGCCTCATCTCAGGTTCTCTCCACCCAATATATTAGGCATGACCTGCTCTGAGCCCCACCTTGGACACGACCTGGTCACCCCACTGTCGGTTGTGGCAACTGCAGTAACCCTCGGATCTAACCCTTTGGCGTTGTTCTGCAAGAGGAAAATGAAGTCGAGAACTTCCAGGGGCCATTCAGGTAGCTTTGTGGATGCCCCTGCGGGACCACAAACTGCCCTGGTCTCCTGCCCTGCTTCTCTGGTCACCAGCCAACCTCTCTAGAATAGAGTCCTTCTTAGGCTGGGCAGATGGGCTGTGTCCTGAAATCAGTGACCTGGGCTCTGTCTGCCCAAGGTGTCTTCCTCCTCTCCAGGACTACCACCCCTCCTGGGGTTAGCCAGAAGTCACTCATGGTCACCGTCTTCATCAAAAGAGCCAGTGCCGAAGTGCTTCCTGTGGGCCTGCCACAGTGCATGTGTTACTTTAGCTGGCTCACACGACCTTGCTGGGAAGTCGGTGCTGCCACCCCATGTTGCAGAGGAGAAAACAAGGACACAGACCTTAGTTGCCCAAGGTCACAAACCTGTTAGGTGACAGAGCCAGGATGTTACTGCAGTCTCATGCGGGTGTATGGCAATTAGGACCAGGAAAGGAAATGCTCTGAATGTGTTGTGTGATCTCAGTTGCCAGGGGAACCAGGAGAGATGGCACAGACACCAGTATTCAGTACTCACCCAGAATCCCTAACTCAGACACCCGTCTGCACGTGGGCAGAAGACATCCTTTAAAAGCAAAGGGACTCAAGATCCCGTCATCTGCCCACCACAAGCCTCACTTTTCTTATCTACAAAGTTCTGGGAACATTATTAATCAAAGTCTTCCTTCTATTACTGTGAGTGTTTGATATTTACCACATAGTACAAATTATTTTAATATCCTTTATTCTCAAAAGATAGACTGCAGAGTTTGTATTCTGACCACATGTCTAGTCTCCATGATGTAATGAATGCCTGTGACCCAAGACTCCTGGGTTCCTTTGGCTCTTGATTGGCCACAGCCAGCTGTGTTGGGCTCATCATCCCCTCCCTGGGTCCCAGGGTGTTCTTGCCAGGTGGTCATGTTATGTAAAACCTGTGCCATCTCTGCCCAGGGTTCCTGTGAGAGTCAGTGGAGTCGACGTGTGCAAACATGGCCTGAGGAGGACAAGACTCCCTAACCATCAGATGGGCAGAAAGGATGCTGACTGAAGGAAACTTGCATCCACTGCCGGGGGAAATTGTGAATACTTTGCAGAGCAATTTGTCCATAACCAATAACATAAAGCTAAACGCATTAGCCATTTCCCTGTGAAGAATGTACTTGGGAGGAATTCTAGCATAGGGACACAAATAAACGCACAAGAATGATCCTTGATGCTTTACTTGTGTTAAAGAAAAACTGGAAACAACCTCGGTGACTATGCTCCTAAGAATGGAGAAAAAAAAATGTGTTTTCCTACAATAGAATATTATTTAGCAGTTAGAAGAATGAACCCTGGCTACAAGCATCAATGTGGATAAAACTCAGAAAATAACAGTTGGCATACAGGGGAATAAATTGCAGAAGGATATCACTTATATCAAGTTTTTAAAGCATGAAAATCGGTACTTCATTGTCCAAGTGTAGCACGGATCTGAGTAACTGAGGGACAAAAGCATGCACAGAAATGCTATAAATATCAAAACCAGTGGTAGGGAGTGCCTCTGGGATGGCAGCCACAAAGATAAGTAGGACACAGGGTTTCAACTGTATGTGTAAACTTTAGTTTAAAAAAATCATCACCCCATGTAAAATAACACTGGAATTTGTCGGAGGTAGGTGATGTGCACACAGGCATGGGTTCTGTTCTTCTCCCTTCTCTATACATTTGGTATGTTTCCAGCCACAACGAACACAGCAGGTTTTGCTTTTTCCATTCTTTCCTTAGAAAGCTCAGAAAATAAAAACCAATATGAAATTACAAGGGGTTCAGCATAGTCTCTCTTAACTTATTCAAATTTAGTTGTATGCCTAGAGGGATATCGAAACCATTCAGAATGGGTAGGTTTAGCTGGCCCCTGTCCCTGGGAGGACGCCCTGGGGGGAGGGCACCTTTCGAATGAGGATCTGCTCTAGTTCAGTGGCTTGTGGTCCCTAAGCTCCACTCAATAGACAACTAAGGCATGTTCAAGGTTAGTTCAGACTCTAGATTTCCTTTTCACCTCCTGTGTGAACTGCAACTCCACTGCTCCGTTAAGTAGTGCTTTGGACAAGCAAGAGCATAGGGGAGCCTTTAGAACCATGGAGGTATTGGGTTATTGTGTAGAAAGGGGACGTTCAATAATGTCTGAGCACTCACCTGTGATTCAGGGTTCAACATCATGGTGTTGACACCTGGAATGTGTCTTAATAGACTGCCACAATTGCTCCTGAAAGCTTACAGCTCAGCAAATGCTGGAATGGCTTGTTGGAAAGTTAGGGAAGGGGTGGGAAGGTCTGGGGAGGATTCCTTACATGAGTGGGGGAGAAGCGCCAGCACCTTGGAGAGGCTCTGCACTGGCCACCTCTGCAGCCAGGGTGGACAAGGAGAAGCTGTCACAGAACCAGGGCTCCCTAATATCACAGGAGACCAAAGAATTCCACAATTCTGTCCTCTCCTCTTCCTCCTTTCCTGCACTCCAAGCTTGCTGTCCAGTTTCTGACCCTCCCAGGGATAGAGCAGGAGGGGGAACCACGGTGAGGTGTAGGAATGGCCTCATAGCCCATGTTTGAAATAGATTCTGTCTTTAATGGGGGGGGGGTCTGGAGTTGTCATCTCACCAGGGATTCCAGAGCTGAGCAACCTATTTAACCTATTTAACCACTTAACTCTTCTAGCTTCCCTCCCAGCAAAACTTCCCCTTCGACCCCTCCCTTATATCTACACCAAGTCCGTAAGCAGCATGGAGTCCTGGCATTGGCTGCATACTCCCCTCTGCAGAGCTGCTTCCTGAATAAAGCCCGTGCTGGCATTTGAGCCGTCTCCCATCTATCTATTCTACATCTCTTTCAGTCTAACAGACAGTGCCAAAACTGGGACAGGTGTGTAGGCTTGGCTCTCAGCTCTCTGCTCTTGCAACCTGGAAAGCAAGGGGTGAGTGGTGGCTCTTTCCGTGCTCACTCCCAGACCCCGAGTAGAGCTAGAGCCATGCACCCCCATCCCTTGCTGCCTCTCCCCCTTTCACTGCTTGATTTCTCCCACCATTTTCTTCCTTTCCTTTCTTTAATACCTCCCCTCCAGGAACCATTTTCCCATTGCCGGACTTCCATCCATCATGGCCTTCAGATTTTAGCGAGTTCCCCCTCCTCCAGGGTTTCTCTCTCACTGCCTATCCTACTGCGGACCATGGTGAAGTTTGGACTGGGTGAAAATTCCCTTTGTCCACCAATGGGTGGACTTACCTGATAGTTTCTAAGGACACTTAGAAAGATTCAGGT